TACATATTTATGAGCTACTATTTCATTCTTGATTGATATTGTTTTACTATAATTTGCATGATACAAATTAGAAATTTCAATAAATAATTTTGCTATATTTGAAAAATACCCAAACAACAAATTTACGGTGACAAAACATTAGTTGATGTTATAAACATGTACTTGACACCATTTAGAAAGGGGCAACACCATATTTTGCAAATGGAAAACAAGGATAAATTCTTGTTAATTAAAGAGCATCAAGTACCAACAAGATCAACAATTGATCACCAAGATGGCTACTTGAAAGTATTTTGATTAATGGGACCTTTAATTAGGAAAAAGATATAATGTAAAAATGAAATTTTTGTTTTCTTATTTATTCGAGTGATTTTGAGATTTTGTTCAACTTCAACCAATAGATCAGGGGGGTCATCCCCCACAAAGGTAGGGATTGATCTTTTATGTGTCGTTCTCTTTGAAAGTTGTATTATACTTTTCTTTGTCCATAGCTCACTTTGAGAGATGGGGTTACCTCGCAACGACTCGTGCTAAATAGGAGTGCAATTAATGACCCAAAAAATTAGGAGTTTAATTGGAACAAATCAATTTGATTCTGGTTTGGATAGAATTCGAGTTCTAATTAAATTCAAGTTATGCATAACAAGAATTAATTAATTATGTTGACCCCTTAACCCACCGATCCACAAGATTCGACTTAATTTCCTAGTCCTAGGCTTGAAATTGAAAATCTCTTCGATACATATTTTCTCGATTTTTTTGGCATCAAGGGGATGCCATGATATTGATTTTTATTTTTAGGTATCATATTAAAAAATAATTTTTTTAAAATAAATAATAAATATACTCAAAAGATGAGTGCACCCTAAAAATAATAAACTGCATTAAAAAAATAGTGTATATATCTAAAAATAATAATAATAAATAATGGGACACGAAATTTTTTCCCCGGGTATCGTAGTAATGGTGTTGATGGAGGCACATCGGAGAAGCAAACGCAAGAAGACGGCCGCTCGTGCTGTTGTGGAGGGCTCTGCCTGTCACTGTGGCTGTCAAGTGTCAGCCACGCTGCTTCTCATTCATTCATGCCCACTCTCACTGGTTTCTCATTCAAACACCAACCTTTGACCATGCCGTCAAAGTTTTTCTTTCGTATAAAAATCAAGATCAAGATTCGCTCTTGTATTTTTATTTAAATTTAATTAATTTTCTATCATCTATCATTAATTGGGATGAAATTCACTATTTATAAGCGGGTCTTTCACCCACCCTCCTCTGTCCTTTTTGTCGGGTTTGGACGTATATAGTATTTTAGGGCCTTAAATGAAAATTACATAAAATTACGATTATAAATCACAATTTTTGAAAATTACATAAAGCCGTGTAACTACGATGCCACAACTTTTTCTTTTTTTTTTTTGTGGCAAGTAAACCTGGTGTTGATTTCGAAGTAAAATTTACAAGCAAGATCATTTATTGTTACTTTCGGACAAAAAAAAAATATCATCAATTGCCATCTAGACCTAAAGTGAAGGATGTAGTTAAGTTAGCATTGATCATAATATCATATGCATTAAAATGTGTTGGATCAATAAATTATGTCATTAAATTCTATATTATATTAAAATTTATAATTTTTTAAGATCAAATTCTAACTTTTGAGGTAGCTGTGAAAAAACATAATCGATCCTAAAATATTAGGCCCGGCCATAGAAATTATAATTTTTAAAGCTAAAGTTACAAGCGATTAGGGTTATTCATGATCGATCACAATATTTCATGAATTATCTCAAACAATTATAATTTCACTTTTAAAAGTATAATTTGATATTAAAAAATAATAAGTTCTAGTATAATACCAAATTTTGTTTTGAAAAAAATTCCGGAGAATTACACAATATAACATTAGTGATGTGCAGAGATATCACTTGCTTGTATAGTTGTATATGTTTCAAGCTACTTGCCGTACAATTTGGAGGAAATCTGTACTTCAATGGAAAACAACCGGTGACAGAAGAGAGAGCTATCATCATCATAACCATATCATACCATGCATGCACGTACAAAGAAGTTTGATGCTTACGCCAAAACCATCCCCAAATAAGGAAAAATCCAACAGTCTGACATCCGGAAGTTTGGCCAGAACTGTTTATCAAGATGGAGCTATTGAATGTGGTATGAGATGTACAAAACTTTCGTTTATAGTAAGACCTATGAAAAGAAACGAATAAACAAACTTAGTTGTTTTAGACAAATTGATTATCGATTTTGAATTCACAATATATAACTTATTAGTTAAATAAGCACTTGTGGTCTTTATTCCACTAATTCTAGTGGCAAATATTGGGACCATATAGGTTGATTCATTTTCAACTTGGGTCACACCTGTTTTTAGGTCACTTATAAGTAGGGTTGATAATCGAATGAGTTCGAATTGAGTCTATCAAACTCTTTTTTTATAAACGAGTCCAAAACAAGCCGAATACTAGTATTAACACATACACGAGTCGAGCCGAATTTAAGTTGTTCAATTCGATTATCAACCCTAGATATAAGTGTCCCTAACTTATTTCATTGCGTGTCTTCCTTAAATTCCCTTCATTGTCACTTAAACCCTACACACAGAAGAAGTAATTAGAGAATACTTTTGGTAGTGGTGGTAGATAGTATAACACATATGCCTAATTAAAACGGGGTGGAGGTAAAGTTTTATTTTAGTCTTTCTAGTTTTACTTTTACACTCCTTTTATCTTCACTTTCTTCTCGGGTACCCTTGGCTACATTTTTATATTTCTTCTTGTCCAGTCTCTCCTTTTTTGCTGAGGGAAGGGTGTGTATAGAGCCACTACGCAATTTGCATCAATCTAGAATATAGTTGTTGTGTGTGTGTGTGTGTGAGAGAGAGAGAGAGAATCATAGAGAGGAGAAAGAAAATGTAATTGAAATAGATCACCATTAAAATGTGAGCTCACTACATAGTAATGTTGAAGTGACGTAACTGTTATACTCAATATTTTTTCAATAGAGAGAAAGATCAGAGTTATTAATTTTCTACTTCAAAAAAAGGTCTAATTATTGTTGAAAATTCCGCACATATGATAGGTAGATATAATTAACCAAAATAAAGAATCTCGCCAAAACCTCTAATGATATCTAATGTCATGGTAAAATGAATCGCAAATAATCTAACAACTATCATATTCAATGGTGGATTCAACATGGGATAGTGGGGGCAGTTGCCCCTGTTGCAATTTTTAAAAATATTGGGACTTATTTAAAATTTTGAAAAATTTAACATTCTTTAAAACTTGCCCCAACTACAAAATTTATATAAAGGTTAGTCATAATTCTATATTTTAGATGATAAATGAGAATCTTTCATAAATTTAAAAATTTGATTCACACTTCCCTCATATGGCTCAAACTAGGATTGTTGCAATAAATTTTCATATCTTCTATTTAGTTAATCTTTTTAACTTGGCTTTCTCTACAAGTGCTCTCTTAATCTCTCTTTTTTTTTTTTTTTAAANATTTTCATATCTTCTATTTAGTTAATCTTTTTAACTTGGCTTTCTCTACAAGTGCTCTCTTAATCTCTCTTTTTTTTTTTTTTTAAAATCTTCTTCTCTTTTCTATTTGTTTATGTGAATTGGAATTGAGATGTAAACATGAAAAATTAGAATCTAAACAAACAAATAATTTACTTGAGGAAGAGTACATACACATACTATGTGAAAAAATCTGAATTGAAATTGTTTCGATCGATTGGATTGAATGATTTACTTGTGATTAATTAAATTATTCACCTATCTAAGTTCGTTTAAATGGACTTGCGATAGTGTTATTTTATTTTGCATTTCTATTATTCGATTTTTTTCTATTTATTAAATATATATTGATGGTCCTTATAAGTTGTTTGTTAAACATTCCACAATAAAATATGATTTTTAGCCAAATTAAATAATGTAATTGTTGGGTTAGGTATTGATAAATTTATTAAAAGAAAACTAAACATTAAATTAAAAACATTGATTATACGGTGGTTTTAAGTTATTATTGAGTCATAGATTGTCGTCACGAATAATACTCGGCTCCACTTTGATTATATGTAACATTTTTATATTGTGTTAGTAAATTATTTATGAACAATTGACATGTGATGGTGCGTGAAATTAATAATGATTGAATGTCTTTTTAATCTCAAATTAACAACAATATTATTGGGATCAAATTTAGGATTAAGTTTTGTCTCTTTCACCCTAACAAATAAAGGGTCTAACTATATCTCATTAACGTTATAATTTATAATTAATTTAATAATTATATTGAATTAAATCTCTAATTCGATAAGATTTCTACTCTTAAAGTGAATTTGTTCTTGGAGGTGTCAGAAACTTGAAACTCTAATGATAAGATAGTGGGAAGTAACCGGGAAAAGACACGTCTTATGATCAGCACCCTTGCCTTGCAGGACCATAAAACCATTCAAAAGGATACAGAGTCGCATGTGGGTCATAGGTAATTGGAATGGCCCCACGACCCAAACAATTGGGTCAGGCAGTGTCAGACCTTGTCTTAAGGGTAACCCCCTCCCGCTCTCGCTCTCTCTCTCTCTCTTCTCTCACCCTTATGCTATGTTCAACTTCCAGCAGTAAATTACGACCATTACTTCTTCGTCGTTATAGCAGTAATAACACGGAAATTTCGGAAACTTTGTAACGCTCGTCATCACCGAGGAGGACCAAGAACAAGCATAATCAAAAGTTCTTCAGTTTCACCTTGTCTTCTAGCTTTTTTGGACGATCCCCATTTAGTTTGAGTTTGTTGGACTGACTGAAACATGGGGTTAGAGAACTTAGCAAAGTATGATAGTGTTCAAGTATTAGACTTAGAAACTTTGCATAAAATTCGTTTCAAGATAGCTGTGTGAGCGCGTGTACGTGTGGGACAGGAAAGATCATAACAAAACAAATCCATTAAAAAGAAGTTGCAAACAATCAATGGGTTGTTCTCTTTTTGTTTTTGTAGGAGGTTGTTTTCTTAATTTTTTGTTGATGGAGTTGAAGAGAAGGCCTTTTTTCGTGTTTGATGCAACTTTAAAGTGGATACTGAACAGTGGTTCGAGAGCTGAGAGCCTGAGACTCGAAACTACAATTTATGGAGAGAGAAAGAGAGAAGAGGAGAAGGAGAAGGAGAAGGAGAAGGAGAAGGAGAACTAGAGAAGTAAGGTCTGAGCCATAAGTGGAAAAGAAGATGATTTATATGCAAGGGTTTTAGGCTCTTGGCCTTTCTGGGCTATAGTCAGAGAAAGAGAGAGAACGTGGGGTGTTGTGGACCCGTGGGGTGAGAAACAACAGGGAGAAAGTGGGGTCCATCGCACCGTCCATGCGCACACTGTCTTTACCAAGACTAAACCCATCATCGATCCAATCCTCCTCTATTCAGTCTTGACCTAACCCTAACCAAAACATAACTCTAAACCCAACATAAAAAGACCAACACCCCCAAACACTCAATCTCTCTCTCTCTCTCTTCCTCTCTATCTCTCACTTAATTGCTTCTTCTTCATTTATCCCAAACCCTCACCAACAGCAACAAAATCGAAACTAACTAACTCATATATAGCTTTCACATCAGGCTACAGGATGAAAAGGATGGCTGATTCAGCTGTTTCAGCTCAAAATTTTGTGTTTGCTTCCCAAAAGCCCTTCCAACTCTTCTCTGGTGAAGGTTAGTTGCAGTTGGTGCATCGAACACCCATACAAGCAAAGAAGAACAATTTTCAATAGAAAACCACAGAGAGATACCCAAGAAACTAGCTCTCTCTCTCTCTCTCTCTCAATCTATCCAGATTTTGTATGTTTGAGCAAAATTGAAGTTTCTGCGAAGCTAAGAAATGGATCCCTTGACAGCACATGGCCGTCCTCTACCACCACCTTTCCACACTAGAGATCTTCAGCTACAACACCACCCTCATCAATTCCAACACCACCAACAGCCGGAGTCTGAAGATGAACAAAGTGGAAGTAGCGGTCTAAATCGAGGCCAAAAACGAGATCGTGATCATTTCAACATCGCCGCCACCACCACCACCACCACATCTGAAAGCAAAGAATTGATTCCACTCACCGGAGAAGGAGAAGCCACAAGAAGAGCCCGAGGAAGGCCTGCTGGTTCTAAGAACAAACCCAAACCTCCAATCATAATCACTCGTGACAGTGCCAATGCCCTCCGATCTCATGTTCTTGAAATTGCAAATGGTTGTGACATTCAAGATAGTATATCCACTTTCGCCACAAGAAGACAAAGAGGGGTTTGCATTTTGAGTGGCAATGGCACTGTCACTAACGTGACTCTAAGACAACCAGCTTCACCTGGTGCAGTTGTGACTTTACATGGAAGATTCGAAATTCTCTCTCTTTCCGGTTCATTTCTACCACCTCCGGCACCACCGGCGGCATCTGGGTTGACCATATATCTTGCCGGAGGTCAAGGACAGGTGGTTGGGGGCAGCGTTGTGGGTCCCTTGGTTGCTTCAGGTCCGGTGGTGATTATGGCAGCGTCTTTTGGTAATGCAGCATATGAGAGGCTTCCTCTTGAGGATGAAGAGCCACCGTCATCAGTCGCCGGAAGTGGCCCTCTTGGATCGCCTGGAATGGTTGGCCAACAACAACAACAGCAGCTTATGACTGATCCAAACTCATCGCTTTTTAATGGGCTGCCTCCAAATCTTCTAAATTCATGCCAATTACCAGCTGAAGCCTACTGGGCCACAGGTCGTCCTCCTTATTAACAAAAGGGAAACCCTTGTTTCTGTTCCACTTGATTTCACTTTTCAATCAGTTTTCAACTTTTCATTCTTCTTCTTTTATGAGTAGTTGTGTTTATGGTTTTAATCTGGTTATTAGTCTGCTTTTTAATTGAAGAGGGATGTACAAATTCCTGAATTCTTTGTTGGTTTGATTAGAATAGCTCTTGGAGTTCATGTGATGATGGCTGGGGGGTGTAAAAAGAGGAGGATTGTAAATCTCCCTCTCTCTCTCTCTCTCTCTCTCTCTCTCTCTCTATTGCAGCTTGGTTTTTGGTAGCTTGTCGGATAACTATTCATTCTCTACCTGCAGAAGAAATTAAGCCACCTGCTTTTTAGGGTCCTTTTTTTCGTGTATGTGGTTGTTTGTGTAAGTTTCCTATTCTGGTACATCATGGAAATCCTAAGAAATAACTCAAAAGACAACCTTAAAAAACATCTTTTAAGAAACTACATTGTATTTGTGATTCATAGAGTTTCTCTTATTAATATATCTGTTTTATTGACCATATCAAAGATTGAACGTTTATCAGTTTTTTAGTATTAAATTATAGTTCAACACCCAGTTTTTCCCAGAAACATCAGCAGACCTATACCTTCTGACTATTATTATAAATAACAACTATTACTATTGCTATTTTATTTTTGTTACAATAATTACATTAATATTAATGTTAGTTGCTAAAGGTTTAAGAGGATTGGAAGGAATGGCAACTTCTTTGATACACATATGCTTGGCCTGGTGGGATGAACAGATCATAGGTATGGGCCCATCTACAAAGGGTATTCTTTGTTGATTTCTCTTTTGAGTGTTGAACGGTTCATTTTGCAACCACTGGGGTTCTGGGTTACACGGGCGCTGCTCTGAACTAGCTCTTTTTCGAGGCAACCAACACTTCCATAGAAAGGCAACAACAACAACCAGGACAAGCAGAGCTCGAGCGTTAAAGTTACTCTCTCTCTATGTGTACACTGTTACTTCCACTGCAGTAAATTGGTGGGCAGGGCCTAAAAGTGAGTTAAGTGGTCAGTTTGTCTGGAACAAGAGATAGAACCCTAGCTTATGCTGCCCAACTTGGGCCTAATTGTAGCCTATGCAGCCATTCCCAAGAATCTCACCATCATCTCTTCTTTGCTTGCCCTTACTCAAGGTTCATCTGGTGTCATCTAATGCTTTTATGTGGTGAACAATGGCAAACTACTTCATGGCAACCCCTGCTTGATCAAGTTGTTCAAACAGGGAAGGGTATATCCATGCTCAAAACCCTTCAAAAGCTATGCCTCTCTGTAGTTGTTTACTACATTTGGAGAGAAAGGAACTCAAGGCTCCATAGCCACCAACCCAAGAACTCCAAGGTCATCTTGCATGCTATTGTCCAAACCATTAGGGACCGAAGGCTTTCTCTTAAATTCAAGATCACTCCAAAGAATGAAAGATTACTTCTAACCTGGCAGCTTCCCAGCTCATGCCTACTATAATGTCCAAGTTTGTTTTGCTTTGTTTTGTATAAGACTAGGGCTAATTCCCTTGCGGTACTTAGCTAAAGCTTGGTACCTCTAAGGAATTCCCCATACTTTTGTTCACCAATGGGGTTTCTCTGCTTGTATTGGCTTTTGTTTGATGTACATCATAGTTTTTTCACATGAATGAAACCTTTTACTTTCCGAAAAAAAAATAAGAGAATTGGGATCTTTCAAAAACCCAAGGTATGGTTCACTGCATTGAAAATAGATCTACCTCTATAACCCCATTCATCGAGATGTCTTTACATTTTATTTTCATATGTAAGTTCGTGCATATGTATATGAATATCTACTCAATAATTATCTGTTAGAAAGCATCATATCTCTCTACTGTTGAAACAGAATCTTGTTTCTTGTTTTGTTATATATTCCTCTTCTTCTTCGTCTAATATGTCCTGCCTGGTCAGTGTAGTTCATAGTTACTGCTTCATACTTTTGTTTTTTCCCTTATATTTTGTTTGAATTAACGTCTTTTGATTCAAGTTTTTTGCTGTGACAGTGCTCACTGTCATTAAAAAAGTGTTTTGGAGGGAAAAAAAATTGTGATAGTAGTGTTACCATAAAAAGTTTATTTGTTGTCGAAAATATTATTTGAGATGAGGTGGTGTTGCCATAAAAAAATTTTGAGACTCCACTTATTGCGGCAAAATGTTGTGACGCATGTCTCACCATAATAAGCGGCAACAACTTTTATAAATAGTATTTTCAACAGTATATAAACTTTTTATAATAGTACTATTGCCACAAAATATTTTTTTTTTCTTTAAAACACATTTTTTGTGACCGTAAAAAGAACCTAATTTTCTTTTATAGCTGTCTGTTTTATAGAATCTTCAAAACAATCGATTTGTTGGTAATTTAATGTTTACACCTGCTTTCCAAGGAAAATAAGCAATTAAACACACATTGTTCCTTAGAATGTTCATTGATGTGGTTCTGGTCTAGCTTGGAGCACTTCTAGGCTTAGTATCTCCTCCTAATATTATGTCGCAAAATTCAAAGTTCTTCAAAGATTTCAGTGTTGATTTGTTTTTTTGTTTTTTTTTGACATTTTTTAACTCTTTCTAAACCACAATGACGAAGGCTTCATACACTAAGTCGCCTTTCAATTTTTCTAATTTGTGGGATGATCAGTTATAGTATTTGTAATTTAGACACTTCCATAATTATGAATGGAATTGTCTCTTTCAGCGTGGGTTTCTTGTTAGCAAGGCGCCATTCACTTTCTTCGTGGGAGTGAATTTAGAAACCCTTTGAAATCAGGTCAGAAAAAATTTATCCCTAATGAATACTCTAGTTCCGGCATAAATGATATGTCTTTGACCGGATCAAAAAATAGATTAGTTGAGTTACGTATAAATTGACCCAAACTTATTGAACAAAAAAAAAGAGAGAGGAGAAGCTCAATTATTCAAAGTTATTTGAAGCATATTATTTTTTTATGATCAGATTGGGTCATTGTGTAACAAGATAAAACTATTGGGGTAACAAGACCCTGAGTATGATTTTTTTTGGGAAGGTAAACAAGTTTCATTAATGTAAAAACAACGCAAGAGATACACGGTTAGCAACTCCAAAAAGAGAACAAGCAAGCACTCTTAGGGGAAGGCATGGTGTAAAACACAAGAAGGTATATTATGTATGGGGTGCCAAGAAATGTACTAGGTACCCCATACTGAATAGCCCGTACACTATGAATTCAAGATCAAAAGGTCAACAAAATGCTATGCTAAGCAGGAGCCGGGGAGCTGCCATAAATGAACCAGTCTCTGGTTCCTGAGTGAGTTTTTGCACTTGAGGGATGAAGCCTTGTCTCGAATGACATTACGAATGGTCTGCATTAGAGCTAGGTGAAGTGAGTACGACTTTGAGAGCAAAGCAAAAAAACATCAAAGATTGGGTTTGTATCCGATCCACCCCCTCCCAATACCTTAGAAGCATGGCCACCCAACTATTTGTAACTTTTTTTTAAGTTATTTGCAATTGATAGAAGGTAGTTTCTTATAACATTTAAACAATAGAATCCCCTCCCCTATACTTTTTCTTAATTTCCTTTAAAGGCATGTGATGTATCATAAATTCAAATAGATCACCATATAAATAGAGTATCCGCCAATATATACAATGAGTGATCCATCTTTAATGAGTGAAAGACTCACTTATATATAATGCGTCTCACTTGAATGTGTGATAGATAATCGGCCAAAAAAAGAATTGAAGAAAAAAATATATTAGAGGAGATTTCACCCCGTACAAAATAACATTTTTGTAAATTGATTGGTGATTCAAGCCTATCACACACCAAAAGTATAATCATGTCATTGGTAAAATATAAGTTGTTGGGAGGATATGTCATAGATACTTAATATTTATTTGAATTTCCAATTTATAGCATGCAATTAAAAATAAAACAATAACATATAAAACTGATCTGATTGTCAAACATGAAAAATTTAAGAATTTGTTTTTCGAAATATAAACTTGTATTAAGACAACAAAGGTACAAATGTACAAAAGAAAGCTTGCGCAGTCAAGCTATGATCAAAACACCCAAAAGAAAGCATTAAGATAGAAGTAGAGCAAATGACTTTACTTACCCCCTAATCCCATCCCTGGGCAGTAGCAAAGGACAAAAACTCTCAAACAAGACAAACAGATGAGAGATTCCAATGATGCACTAAGAGAAGATTCTGAGGATTGGCCTTGAATTTAAGAAGGGAAAGTCTTTCTCTATAGTTGTATGAATCTTGAAAAACAAACTTTGTTGGGATGTAATCNTGATGCACTAAGAGAAGATTCTGAGGATTGGCCTTGAATTTAAGAAGGGAAAGTCTTTCTCTATAGTTGTATGAATCTTGAAAAACAAACTTTGTTGGGATGTAATCAGATTGTTAAAAATCATGTTCTTCCTCTCCCTCCATAAGTTGTAAACAGTGATAAAAAAGCAGAGTTTGAGGATAATAATTTGTTGATTTTTTGTGGAGTCTAATTTTTATATGTGATCCAGATGATGACCCGACCCGAAGTAATGTTGTGTGANTCAGATTGTTAAAAATCATGTTCTTCCTCTCCCTCCATAAGTTGTAAACAGTGATAGAAAAGCAGAGTTTGAGGATAACAACTTGTTGATTTTTTGTGGAGTCTAATTTTTATATGTGATCCAGATGATGACTCGACCCGAAGTAATGTTGTGTAATTTTTAATGAAAAATTTTCTGAGGCTCAGTCCATGGAGCGAAGGCTTGAGCCGATTATATAGCCCAGTGCGTAAGACATATAAAACTCGTTGTTTTGGTGATTAGGGTTAATATGGTGGATTGTACAACCGTTCTCTGTATTCAACTCTCTCAATAGTGAAATCCTTGTAGATNTAAAATCTGTGTCTTGTTCTTTCTTATTTCTTATTGCTTTATATTCTTGATTTGTTTTTTGATTGTGTNCTCGTTGTTTTGGTGATTAGGG